ATTTATTTTCTTACTTGCAACCATCAGTCCCTGAACATTTCAAAGTAATTTCAAAAGTTTCTTTAAATGTTCCTCTCAGAGAGAGGGAGAAGTTTTTTTTTCTTGAGAAGTGTAACAGTCAGGACTAATTTTCTTTCACTTTTGTTCCTCACATCACCAAAGTGATACGCATTCATTGTCATTTTTGGAAAATACAGTGAATATTTGGAAAACGCATAAAACAAAATTTCCCATACTGCTATTTACAAAAGACTGCTATTCACAATATAGTAGTATAATATAGTCTATCTCCAGGCTTACATATGCCTGTAGAGAAACCTTTGTTTGTGTTGCTGAATTGGGATTGTATTGTATGTTTTGTAATCTGATTTTTGCACCTAACTATTTATCATGAACATTTCCCCGTCTTCTTCAACCACATAATTTGTAGTGGTCGTGTACATTCCATTGAATGAATGTCTCATAATTTATTGAACAGACCCCTTGTTAAGTCAGACATGCCTTACTATAAATCTTGAGAGGTAATCTGGACATTAATCTAGACAAACAAGCTGAAACGCTTCAGCTCTGCCCTTAGGAAATGACTGTGAGAAGCTTAAAGCCACCTGCAGGTTGGAGCGGTCCCCTGAGGCAGTCCCACGCAGGTGTGCTTGGGACAATGTCCCAGTGACGGCCTTTAAGCTGTCAGAGGGAGCTGTCCCCCTGGGCCCCAAACAAGCAAGCTGAGTGTTGGGAAGCACAGGCCCTGATCCATAGCTGGCTGCCCTGTCAGGACTGCAAGCCTCCATGCAGGCCTCAGGAACCTGTCCACTCGGTCCCAGGAGAATCCCAAGCCTCCCGGCAATTGTCCCTGGACCCTTGTCCCTGTTCGGCCCTCCATGGCCCCTAAATGCGCCATTGTCTCCTCTAGCACGCACCTCCTGCTCTACTGTGATTGGCAGATTCCACACCTTCTCTGCATGTTCCCTCCATCTCTGTGTTGACTGACACCAGACTATTCCCCCAGGACATCACTTCCCTGGGAGGCCTCCCCTATTGCCATTTCCAAATTATTTCTCTTTTCCTTTCTGTAAAAACCACAGCTCACCTGAAGCCTGTGCTATCCAGCGATCCCACAGGCTGCTTTTCCCCATTGTTCTTTACCAACCTCCCATCCTTCCCACTCTTCACTACAAACTCCAGCTCTGGCTCACTGATGTCCCCTCAAACTCTGCTCCTGCCCTGATTTGCAGTGACTTTCATATCCTCATGGAGGAGCCCACAAAGCCACGGCTACTGGGTTCCTGTATTATTGCCTAGGGCTGCTATAAAACATACCCCACCCTGGCTGGCTGAAAAGGACAGAAAATTATTCTCTCACGGTTCTGGAGAACTCCCAGTGACAGCCAGCTCCTGGTGGTGCCAGACATTCCTGGGCTTGTAGTTATCAACTCCAATCTCTTCACATGGCCTTTTCCTAGGTGTCTCTGTCTTGTCCTCTTCTTTGTTATAAGGACACTTAACTTGGATTCAGGACCACTCAGATAATCCAGGATCCTTAACTTAATTACATGTGCAAAGACCTTTTCCAAGCAAGGTCACATTCACAATTTCTAGGGCCTGAAGATGTCTTTTGGGGGCTACCACTCAACCTTATCATGTTCCCACTTGAACTATTCTAGTATTACGGTCACGTAATAGACCTTGTCATATAGAAGCATCTCTGCCACCTCTAAAGTATCCATCTCAAACGTTCTCCTCTCCGACCACTATCTTCCAGCTCCCAGCTCTCCTACATGGTCTAGGACCCCACCCCAAGAGCGTGGGTTCATTGATGGCTTCCTTACCTTTGCCTCACCCATAACCCCTTCCCTCATTGCTTAGATCATAAGATCCATCATTATAACCTCTCCCCGGCAGACGTCCTCGACTTCCATGCTCCTCTCCTCTCTAAGTCAAAACCTTTATGACAAAACACCAACCTTAACTGATTCAAATATTGACCCTCTACATGCCTGCCCTTGAGCAGCTGATGGGAAAAGTAACTACATAATCAGGCTGGCTAGTTTTAGCTTAGTTTTTGGGGTTTTTTTTTTTTAATGTTTCTTTATTTATATTGAGAGAGAGAGACACACACAGAGACAGAGACAGACACAGAGAGAGGAATAGAGAGAATCCCAAGCAGGCTCCATGCTCAGCGTGGAGCCCAATGCGGGGCTTGGTCCCGCAAACAATGAGATCATGACCTGAGCTGAAATCAAGAGTCAGACGCTTAACTGACTGAGCCACCCAGGCACCCCCATGAGTTTAAACTCATGGCCCTACACTTCCATGGGCACTATTGGAACTCTATTGGTTTCCATCAAGAGTTTACTTTCTCCAGGGGGCAATGTCATCCTTTTCCTCTCTCCTCATGCTTCCCATATGATCTCCTTCTCCTCTAATATTAGCTGATGCCCTGTTTCACACTTAGAGTTGCAGAGAAAGCAGACACCATCAGAGGGGAGCCCAATTCTCTTCCTATCCCAAACCTACAAATGTACCCACATCTACACCTGTATTGCTCTTATCAAAACCACCCTTTCACCTGAACTCACTCCAGAATGAAGGCTCGTGAGAGTGGCAACCTTTTTTGGATCATGCAGTGCTTTATGGCGGGTGCCCAATACAGTGCCCGACACGTGGTAAGCACTAAATGTTTGTTGAATGGCAAAGAACTTCCTTTCTCCACTTATCTCTCCTTCTCTTACACCATTAATCTCTTCTCTATTGGTGACTCACATTAACATACAGATATGGGCTGGAACACCCATCATTTAAAAACATAGTCTTTCCTTGACCCCACAGTCCCTCAGCTTCTTCCCCCTTTCTCTCTTCTGCTGTGTAACAAAACTTCTCCACAGAGAACAGCACATTATTATCTCTACTTCGTCACCTACTGTTAATTCTTCAATTCCCTCCAGTCTGGCTTCTGGCCCCGTCACTCCTCTGAAACTCCTCTCATCAAGGTCATCAATGACTGCCATGTTGTCAAATCCAACTTCATCTATTGCAATGGTCCTTCAAGGTGCAACACAACTCTCCACTCCTTTTCCTTGAGTCACTCTCCTCTCTCATTTTCCCTGACCCAATACCCTCTAAATTTTCTTCCTATCCCACGAAACACTTCTAACTAGTCTCCTGCTTCACTGACTCACTTTACTCACTCTCTCCCTGCTCTCTACATGTGTCCTCTTATTCTTCTCTGTCAATCATTTCCCTATGAATTCTCATCCATGGCTTTAAACACCATCCATTTGCTGATGACTTCCAAATTTATTCTTTCATTGGAATATACCTGACCTCCAAACTCCCACACCCATCCAAGTACCAGCTTGGTACCTCCTTCAGATATTTCAGGAGCATCTCAAATAGAACACTTCCCAGATGTTACCCTTGATTCCTACCGCTTCTGCCCAACCTGTTTCCTCCATCAGGCCCTAGAAAATGGTACCACCATCTTGCTTGTAATTCAAGCCCAACAACTAATATCATCCTTGTGGGAGTGTTTCTGGAGATAAAGCTTTAGAACAGGAAATGCTGAGTCAAATGACTTGTGCCATTTCTTAAACATGTAGAGATCTTTGACATGCATTCGTCATAAACAATAAATGAGGCTTTGAAGCTCCTGACTTTACCATCTCTGGAATGAATTAGAGGGCTTTTTTTTTTTTTTTTTTTTTTTTTAGTAGGTAGTTTCCTTTACCCAGAAACCTTCCTCCTCTGAGGCATTAGTTGAATCAGCTAAGTTCTTAGATGCAAGCTATGGTCACCAACTCTGCCTGATTCAGGTAGAAACAATGTATTGAAAGAGTACTTGGTAGTTCACAGAGCCACTGGGAAGAATGAAAAACTGAGAATAAAGGGAGCCCCAAGGCCAGAACTCAACTAAAATCATGCCCTAGAAACTGGCTGTGAGGATTCTGCCCACACCAGACTCTGGACATGGTCACTGCTCTGTTGCCATCATTGTCACTGTCTGAAAGCCGGTCTCCTTATCCCTGACTCTTTGCTTCACAAACTCAAGTTTCAAAGCCCTGAGTAGATGGATCTGCTCGGCTGAGTCCCGGCTCCTATGTCCTGACTTCCCAGGAGCTGGAGAAGCGCATGTGGGCCATTGCAATAGCCTCCACCAAGACTCATCATGTGTCACCTTCTGGGAAGCCTCCAAGATGACCAATGCCCATGGCATTGGTGCTGAGGGCTTTCCCAGATCTCGTCACTTTCCAACAGAGATGCCACCAGCCACAGCAGCTATATTACAGACTCTGGGACTTTGCAAAGGGAATGTGGCTTGGCAGGTGGCGGGGCAACACATAGAATAAGGTTTAGTTTTTGTCATTCTAAACTTCTGGCCAATAGTCCATCTCCATCCCTCTGTCTGTCTGTCCTGCTAGCCAGCTCTGCATTTGGGGTGTCAGTGGCTCTTAATACTCATGCTGGGCCTCTCCTTCAATGTAGTAATAGTGAACATGTTGTTAATATTTTGTCTTTCTTTTTTATCAGAAGGCTGAGAGCTCTTTGCAAACATGAATATGTGACAAGACATCAGTGCACGGTTGTAAGTAAATCAGCAGGAACTTTCTCAGCTGGATTCTTCGTTGTTTTCTCCCTCTGCCCATCAAGAACGGGGGGGAAGGGACTGGACTCCCCTTTCTTTCAAGCATTACCTTACCACCTGACTGCCACCCCTGGCACTTACAGTGGAAACTTGCCTCTTCCATTCCTCACTAGATAAATAATCTACTTTCATTTTGGCGACTCGTCCAGTATTTTTTTTCCATGAGGCGGGGTGATGAGCCTTGCCCTGGTTTCTGAAGTCTCATGTTCACCAGCAGCAAGCCAGGCCTCCTGTTTGCCCCTGTTGTTTTGCCAAGGAGAGAAAACCAAGGCAATGAGTTAGCTAAGGTGGCCAAAATGCTGAAGTTGTTGCTCCCAAAGTGTCATCTACAAGCCACCAGCATCAGCAACGTCTTGAAGTGTGTGTTCAGAATAACTCCATCCTCAACTCCTGACCAGTCCCCCCACCGAACCTCCCCACCCAATCGGTGTCTTTGGCAGAAGAGCCCAAGAAGCTGCATTTTTACCAGGTTCCCAGAGGACAGTTGTACATTCTAACCTGAAAACCACTGGCCCAGACTGTCCGTAGGAATCAGGCCACCAACAGGACTTGAAGTCACAGACCTCCATCCCTACCCCTCGTGGTAAGTAAGGATGATGAATCCGATGGGCAGCAGATGAACACTCTGGAACATTTCCTATCTATTTCAAAGTGTTTGCTATTTCAATCATCTATTACAAGCAAAATCCACGCTGGAAAATATTCAGAAACCTCTCAGCTTAAAAATTATATTAGCCCTATGATTTTTCCTGTCTTCTAAAATGAAGGAGCACATTGATGGAGTTAGAGGGTCTTCTGGCTCCAACTTCCTGCAATATATCAAGTGAGTGAATTTGGCCATGATCATTTCCCGGGCATAGCTCAAAAAACTTTTTTTTAATTGTTTTTAATGTTTATTCACTTTTAAGAGACAGAGAGAGACGGAGCATGAGCAGGGGAAGGGTAGAGAGAGAGGGGACACAGAATCTGAAGCAGGCTCCAGGGTCTGAGCTGTCAGCACAGAGCCCAGCAAGGGGCTTGAACCCACAAACCATGAGATCATGACCCGAGCCAAAGTTGGACGCTCACCGAACTGAGTCACCCAGGTGCCCCCCAAATTTTTAAACATGCAAAAAATAAACTAACAGACACCCACATAGCAAACACTAATACTGAATACATTTTAACATTTTGTAAAATTTCCTTCATACATTTTTGTTAAAGAAAGTAATCTTTATAAATACAGCTGGAGTCCTCACTGCCATTTCATTTATCTCCTTCCCTTCCTTCCTTCCCTCCCAGAAGTAAGGATCCTGGAAGTGGTATGTGTCCTTCACCCATGGTTTTATAACTTAAAAATATCCATTTCTGTATAATGTGTATACATATACACAACATGACTCTCTCTCTCTCTCTATATATATATATATACACATATACATATATATATACATATACATATATATATACTAGTTATAAAACTACAGCTCTCTATATATAGACAGAGAAAGAGAATAATAGAAATGCTATATATATATATGCTATATATATATATGGCATATATATATGCTATATATATATACACACATACACACCATATGGTTTGCTATTCTTTTTTAGGTATGGAAAGCCTTTTGTACCTTTTTTGTTTCACATTAACATTTCCAAATTCATCTCTATTAATACATGTATATCTACTTTGTCCATTCTCAGGTGATACATGGTATTCCAATGCGTGACTGTTGCCACAACTGATGTAGCCATCCATCCACTACTTGCTGACGCTTCTCCAATTTCCATTTCCACAATTGAGATGATAGCAGATTGCTTCCCCACGTCGTGGCGCCACCTACAGGCCCACCAGTGCTCACAGAGGCTTCTCATCCCCCTTAGGCTTGCCAAGATTTTTTAGTCTTTAACATTTTTGCCAATCTGTAGGTACAAAAGGCTGTCTCACTGTTCATTTGTATTTTTTTGTCTATTTATTTTTGAGAGACAGAAACAGCGTGAACAGGGGAGGGCAGAGAGAGAGAGAGGGAGACACAGAACCCGAAGCAGGCTCCAGGCTCTGAGTGGTCAGCACAGAACCCCATGTGGGGCTCCAACTCACCAACCGTGAAATCATGACCTGAGCCGAAGTAGGCCACTTAACCAACTGAGCCACCCAGGCGCCCCTACTGTTAATTTGTACTGACTTGGGTTTTTTTTCCTTTTTTTTTTTTTTAAGTTTATTTATTTATTTTGAAAGAAAGAAAAGCATGTTTGCAAGTGGGGAGGGGCAGAGAGAAAGGGAGACAGAGAATCCCAAACAAGCTCCGTGCTGTCAGCTCAAAGCCTGACTTGGGGCTTGAACTCACAAACCCGGAGATCATGACCTGAGCCGAAATCAAGAGTCGTATGCTCAACTAACTGAGCCACCCAGGCGTCCCTTATTTATGTATTTATTTATTTTTATGGCCATACCTATTTTCTCTTGTGCAGATTGCTAATTTCATACTCTGATCATTTTTCTATTGGATTGTCTTTGTCTTTTTTTTTTAAGATTTTATTTTTAAATAATCTCTACACCCAATATGGGGTTTGAGCTCAAAACCCTGAGATCAAGAATCTCATGCTCCATCCACTGAGCCAACCAGGCTACCTGTCTTTTCCTTATTGAATTGTAGAATTCTTTATTTTACTGGATTCAAATGCTTCATTGGTTATATGCATTCCAAATACCTTCCCCCAGTCTGTGACATGGAACACAGAAAGTGTCAGAAAAAGAAAATGCTATCTTCTGCCCTGGGCTCTAGAATTTTGCTGATTCAGGAATAGTTTTTATATTAATTTCTTGACTTGTGATTCGCTCATTTTGCAGATAGTGTGAATTTCGATCTCACACCCACACTGGACACAAGTTTAGGATTTTTATTTCTCCGGAGACTTTTTTTTTTTAATCTGCCCAGGCCAGAGACAGTTTCCTCGCCTTACCTGGGCTGCTGGTTACCTAGAGGGGCTGCCCTCCAGGGCCCCTGCTTAATGCCAGGTCTGTTGTCCTGTGCATGCCCAGACACCTGTCCTGTCCCAGTTTGGTATCCCAGCTTGGGAATTAGACCCTGCTATATTCTTAGTTGATATTTTGGCTCCAATATCCCTCCGCCCTTAGCCACACCTCCTGTTACTACCTCGTTCACTACTGTGTTCCCTTTTTGTTCCTAGCATCTGGGGATTTCCCTCGTACTCCATCTGAGCTCAGATATGAATGTAATAAATTCATCTTATAGTTTAGCCAGCATTTCCATGGAGTTTCAGTTTAGAGGGTTGGCAGTGCTGTATGGGGCTGACCTGTATCGGTTCACAAGAGCCAACTATTAAATTTTCAGGAGTTTTGAGCCAGTTGCTACACATTGCCATCGTTAATAATTAAGTTATAAAAACTCACAACTAAATAAATTATAATAAAAACAAGGCAATAAAAACTCAAAACTGAACACCTGCAAAATACCAATCTCTGTCTTGAACCTAGTTTCTTTCCCTTACGGTGCGTTCTGCATGCACTACACGGGATGTGCTTTTCTGAGCCACACATAGGAAAGAAAACAGAATGGAGATGGAAGCTTCCTAGTAAATGTCCTCAGGGCAGGTCACCATATGGAATAGAACCAAATGCCAAGAAACACTCCCCTCTGATTCTCCTTCAGCACATGGCCAGCAAGAGAGGGAGGCCTTGGGGGGTGGCTTTGCACAGACAAGCTTGTGAATACAAGACACAACTGAAGCTTATTTTGTACTTCGAGACGTAGTGAGTCTTATCAAGTATCACTCTGGACAAATTTCTTTTCCTAGTTGGTAATCTAAAATTCCACGTATTCCAATTTCATGATAATTACAAAGGACACCTTTCTTTATATTTCCCCCTGGTTCTCCAAGTATTGGTCAGAGAGAAGAGGAAAGGCAGGATTTTTCTTCCCATGCCTTTAGTGTTTCTAAGTTTGCAGTGGTGAAAGGGTCAGCACTGACAGCCTAATATGGGCGGGGGTGGGGGGGTGGGGAGCATTTTACATATCACATTCCGCTGCAGAAGAAGTGGCACAGCATTTGAAGTGGTCCACGGTTTACAATGTCCAAAGCTCTGCCTTTGTGTCAGATTAAAGATGAGGTCATGAAGAAGCATGACGATTTGACCTGAGAGTCACTACATTTCCTTACGGCAAAATACCAAGCAAATCTGGCATTTCTTTGCTAAAGGTAAAAGCAAAATCTTAAGCCCTAGGCCATGAACTTTTTGAGGGGCTGGGACCATGCTCCTGACACATACTCAGCACCCAAGAAATGTTTTTAGGGTGAAGGAAGGAAAGAACAACAGACAAGCTCAGAGGACTGAGTCTGGGACCCCATCCACATCAAGATGCTTAATTTGAACGCCTACTCCCAAGGAAGTGACTCATAGCTGCTGTCTGATGGTAAGTAAGAAAAATATGTGTTTCTATCAGCACATTACATAGAAGAGTAGTATTCATCACTGGGGCATGATGTGTGTTTTGATAAGTTTAATGTTGAACATAAATATACGGGCCATCTGTCATCTCGGACAGTCGGATGCTGGGCTCTCCTTGGCATCACGGTTTGTCAGAGAACTTAGATTCCTTTCTTCATTGGTGTGGAAGCTCAGAAACGATTCCAAAAGCAGAAACTTCATCATTGAACCAACATTTACTGAGTGCCTACTGTGTGCAGTATGTACAATGAAAATACGCCCTAGGGGTACAGGGATGAAAGACAGTCAGAAGAATAAACACAGGGTTACAACACAAAACTGCCAGAGTCATAGGGGCCGGTGGTGGCACTGGGTCACAGAGGAGGGGCACATACCTCATGGCACAGGGTAGGGAGCACCTTCACAGAGGAGCTGACAGGTGAACTGATAGTTGAAAGAAAAGGTTCAGATTTGCTAGGGTTTCAAACTTAAAAGGCTCTCCTTCCCTCCTGACTTCATGTGGCCCCAGTCTTTGGCGAATGTTAGAGTCAGAGGGTGTGATGGTTAATTTTATGTGTCAATCTGGCTGGGCCTTGGCACCAAGGTACCCAGTTGTTTGGTCAAACACCAGTCTAGGAGGTTGCAGTGAAGGTTTTGTTTTGTTTTGTTTTGTTTTGAGATGTGATTAACATTTAAATCAGCAGCCTTTAAATAAAGTGGGTTAATTTCCATAATTTGGGTGGGCCTCAGCTGATCAGTTGAAGGCCTTAAGAGAAAAGACTGAGGTCCCCCAAAGAGGATGGAATGCTTCCTCCAAATGGCAGTATAGAAATTCCACTTGAGTTTCCAGCCTTCAGACTCAAGGCTGCAATAGCAACTCCTGTCTGAGTTTCCAGCCTGCCGGTCTGTCCTGCAACCTTCAGACTTGCAAACTCCCACAGTGGCATGTGCTAAGTCCTTAAAATAAATCTCTTTAACTATATATACATCCTGGGGCATCTGGGTGGCTCAGTTGGTTAAGCATCCGACTTTGGCTCAGGTCATGATCTGGCAGTTCATGAGTTTGGGCCTCATGTTGGGCTCTGTGCTGATGGCTCGGAGCCTGGAGCCTGCTTTGGATTCTGTGTCTCCCTCTCTCTCTGCCCCTCCCCCGCTTACGCTCTGTCTCTCTGTCTCTCTCTCTCAAATAAAATAAACATTAAAAAAGTAAACAATGTATATACATCCTATTCATTCTGTTTTTCTGGATAACCTCGACTAATACAGAGGACTATATATTTAAACCACAGGGTTAGTAGGCTGGGGCCCCAGCTGTATGCCTTCAGAAAGGGAACACAGAACACAGCCACCCTGGAAGAAATAAAACCCAGATTGCACACACCCTAATACCAGCTCTGCTTCTCTGTGTCTTTGCTCTGGTTAATTTATTAACTCTGGGGCATAACCAGATCCCAGCATATCCTGGCAGCTTTTGCTATATTTGGTCCTCAAGTGGCCCTTCCCCACCCATTGCCCTCACCACCCCCACCCCTCCTTTGGCTCAATCCCAACCCACTTTGTGGCAGCTCCCAGCAGCCCTGCCTGCAGTGTAGCCAGAGCAGCTGTTTGCATTTGCGTATTGTATACCCTCAGTCTCTCCAGGATTTCTTGGCAGGTAGACCTAGAGAGCACCCTGTCGTTTTACCTGCGTAAGTCTGCATTTTTAGTCTCAGGGAAATCTTAAGACACTAGGTGAGTGCCCTCCCAGTGACCAAGGGCACCGGGCCAGCCACTATTGAGGGTCCTGTCACAAAATGTTTTCATTAACTGTGATTCCCCACATCCTACTCCTGACTGGAGGGAATAAACTGGGTCTTTTGTCTTTGTATCTTCTGTGGCTGGCACAATGCTTCGAATATAATAGGTGCTCAATGAATGCTTGTTAACGTGTCAACAATAGGTGAGCATGAGTACTTAATATGTGTCAGAGACTAAGCATTATATATTATACATAATACATATATTTGCTCATTTAATCCTCAGAGCAGAATCTTAAATGATAGGTGCTGCTATTATTCCCACTTTACAGATAAGGAAACTGACGCACATAGAGTGAGATCATTTTACTAAAGGTGGAAGAGGCAGAATCCAGATTCAAACTCATCATGCTCCAGAGGCCACACTCGTAACAATACGCTACGCATATGAACCCTATAAAGTCTAGAACAACTCTGATGATATTCGAGGTCATCTCTCTCCTGCCACATCTTCCCACAGTTTCCGAGATAAGAACGAGAAGAACTGGAACATCTGAGCACTGTTCTGGAAAGAGCTCTGACTGAGAGTGAGGAGACCCAGGCGCTAGCCCGATGCCTGACCTGTGACTCTGAGACTGGGCTTCCTTGTTTATAAAATAAAGGACTTGGACCAGCTGCCCTCTAGGTCCCTTATCGTCTGTACACTGTGGGAGGCTCTGCCAGCTCCTTTTGCCTCTTCTGTCTACCAAGTCTTGATAGCCCGGCTTATCACTCAGTCCATGCTTGTTACTCTGCCTTGAGTTCATTCACAATCCCTTTGGGGCAGTTTGCATGGCCCTTTGGGAGCGGTAAATCCCTCTGAGAATCCAAGGAGAGCAAAGGCTCATCCTTTCAGGAAAAAAAAAAAAATGTACATTTTTATAACCACACACCTCACACATGACTTCAGGACGTTACAGACCCTGAAGCTGTCCATCCTTTAGGCCCCAGGATAAAATCTCCTGCACTAGACAATGAGCAGGAAGTAGCCCAAGTTGAAAACAGCACTGACAGAGGATGTGATCAGGGGGAAGGGTGAGCTCTGGCTGAGTGGGTGCTGGGTCTGGGGTGGGGGTGGTGGCAGGGGTGCCTGGCCCCATCCTGGTTTCCTACTCCATCTGGACAGGAAACCAAGCAGAAACCCTCTGCAGGGCTCTCCCGCAGAGCTGCGCCTCACTCTTCTCCCTGGGCCCCTCCTGGGGGCGGGTGGCAGGGACACCTGAGCTCTTCTTCAAGCCTTCACAGGCCCTTCCTGACCAATCTGCCTCATGGGGAAAATGACTGTGAAAACAAACAGCTCTCGCGTCCTCCGCAGCGCTCCTACCTGACGCACCTGGCCTTTTGCAAATGCGGCACAGCTTGCACCCTGCAAGTGTGGCTGCCTTCTCCATCTGTGGGCGCTCTCGCCTTTTCAGAGTCTCACTCAATTCAATACCTTAAGGTCCCTTAGGCCAAGAGATATCCGTAGAGATAAAACTCCAAGGAGCTCAAAGCTTTTAACCTAATTGCTTCTAAAAATACTTTTTGGAGAGCCATGCTGAAGTTCAATGTAATACTTTCAAACAGACCCTAAGAAAAACCTGTAGCCGAATCCTGCGAACACTGTAATCGGGCGATTGTTTGTCTCTTATGCTGGCTCTTTATCCGGGATTCTGTAACGCGTGGCTATAGCTCATGCTGCAGGGTTTATATGCGAACCAAGACTTCTTGCCCGTTGCTCCCAATAACGCAACCTGTCAGCTCTTCAGCATTGTCCACTCTTTCGTCTTTGGGGGGACAGTTAACCCATCCTTCTGGAGCTGCAAAGCCTGCCTCTTTCATAGGTTAAAGTACTGTTGTTTGCTATAGAAAAGAAAATGCACAGGAGGCCTAAGAAACTAATGTCAATATTAGGAGCTTAAAGACCTGTAAGTAAACAAGGGGGCTGGGTTCCATTTGTGTGTTTGCTTTGAGTTGCTTGCTCTGAGATGTTTCTACCTGTGTGTTTGCTGAGGAATATTTACTATTTTCTTCAAAACAGACCATGAAAGTGTCTCTAAGTTTTTAAAAGCATAAGTATCTGGGCAAAGCTGTTTGTGTGGATGAGATGTGTTTTCAGTGATATTCTAGCACCAACAAAGTGAGGGATAAGGACATGGGGCATGATTTGGGGGAGCACTGAGCGGCCACTCACTGTCTTACAAAACAGAGCATTTATACTTTTGTCCCACCAAACACAAGATTCAGGTGCAAACATATTGGTTTCGGATTCAGCAATGCCTGCATGCATCTCATTCTGGGAAAACACAATTCGGGCAAAATCGATTGTTGAATAAATAGGCTTTGCTAGGATGATGTTATTACACTAAACAATGTCTTTGAAAAAAAACAGCTCCTTTCCCGTTTATTTTTAATGCCGCAGTCAGCCTGTCTGCGACAAGTTGTGGCCGAGTTACAGGCTGTTTGTGGACATAAGTGTGGAGTTTCTTTTGCTTTTTAAAAATGTACCCTTGTTTTCTTAGTCCTCTGGGTAGAACGGGTGCCTCTTTTGTTCTTTGCTACTCAGCTTCAGCAAGTGGCTCCTTTGAGTAGCCTAGGGAATGAGTGCCCTCTTCTGGAAAATCCACTAATTACAAATTCAGGAAGCATTGGCCTGGTTACCCCACAGGCCCAGTAGAGAACACAAAAGAAATTACAATATGTTCCATGCATTAAAGGGCCTACGTTTATCTTCATAGATACAGCGGCTTGCTTTGGAATTTTCAAAAGTGATTCGGAGAGCCAAGGAGATCAATTATTTTCATGGTTTCTGTTGTAAAGGTATGACCTCACTTTATAGCCAAAATTTCAGTTTTAAAGCCCAATGATTTATTTCTTGCTCTATCTAAATTACTTTAAAATGCGTGATTTAAAATTCCGTCCTTTTTAAAGATTAAAAACAAGATGAATAACGAACACATGCAGGATGTTTGTTTTCGGTAAAGATAGCTGGGTCTTTAAAATCACTATAAGAAGGTATTTTTTTTTTTTTTAATCCCAAATCAAATTACTGTCTTGTGTGTCAATAATTTATCACCAAGTATTTAGGACAATATCCTCTACTCCCCGAAAGTGCTGTTTACCAAAGATGAAGACTGTCTTTCACCATCTCTCCATAATGAACATTGAATTCTCCAGATTTGTTTTTTTCACTCAGCAGAGGAGGGAGAATAGAATCCCCACGGCCTTGCTATTTCTTGCTTTCACCTTATTCATGGGAGTTTTCAGCTGTGGATCGTCAGAAATTTCAGGTTTACCGATTGCTAACTGAAGGCCTTGACAGGTTATTTAGCTTTTGCAAACTTCAGGGTCCCCGTATGAGACACGGGGACACCAGTGGTGGTAATGGTGGGGATTAAATGAGATAATCCAGGCAAGGTGCTAAGCACCAAGCCTTGCCTTGAATAAGCGTTCAATAAGCATTAGCTACCGCCACCACCATCAAAATCACTCTCTGCTCCTTTCTTTTTTACCCTTTTGTGGTAAAATAAAACATATAGAAGACCCCCCCCCAAAACAAACGTAGGGCTTAATGAGTCATTATAACGTGAACACTCACATAGCCAGAAGGGAGGGTCACCCCAGCGCCCCTCGAAGCCCCCAACCCCGTTCCCCTGTTCCAACCTCATTTCTCTCCCTTCTGCAAGAAGTAACCATTCTGCTGACTTTTATCAATAGTAACTTCCTCGTTTCTTAATGGTTTTGCACCTAAATGTGCATACCTCAACACTATAGTTTAGTCTGTGCACCTCCCTCCTCTTATTTTTACATTGTATATCTTTTAGGTTTATTTAAAAAAATTTTTTCAATGTGTATTTATTATATTGAGAGAGAGAGAAACAGACTGCAAGCAGGGAAGGAGCAGATAGAGAGGGAGACACAGAAGCCGAAGCAGGCTCCAGGCTCCCAGCTGTCAGCACAGAGCCCGATGGGGGGCTCAAACCCACAAACCGTGAGATCATAACCTGAGCCGAAGTTGGACACTTCACCAATTGAGCCACCCAGTCACCCCTAGGTTTATTTTAATCCATAGACTCCCTTCCCTCCCTTTCTTTCCTTTTCAATTTATCTGTTGAAGAACCTGGGGGTACTTGACTTATATTTTGCCTGTATTTTGCCAACTGCATAACCATGGTGCGATCCAATATGTTTCCCTGTCTGCTGTAGTTCCTGCAAATAGGTGGCTGGAGCCAGAGCTGGATTAGACTCAGGTTAAATCCCTTCAGCAAGATTGAAGGCGGTGGAGTATTCTTTCATCAGGAGCAGATTATCACTGGTGGTCTTTTTGTGACGTTTTGCCAGCTGTTGATGTTCGATGTTAAGATCCACTAATTCACTGAGGTCTGCAAAATGCTGATATTCTAATTTCACCATTTATTTTCATTTATTACTTGGAATACTTTTATAAAGGGTTGCATCCCTTCATATTGTATTTGATGTCTCAGTGGCACAGTTCACTTGGAAAAAAACTTAATTTTCTTTGCTTTAATTACCACGTTTCAAAAAAATGAATTAGTTCCTGTGGTGGTTTTAAAATAAGGTTCCAAATTCTTTGGCACTTCTGCACTTAAGGGATGGGATCTCTGTTTCCTCCTGTTGAATCTGGGAGGGCATAGGACCGCTTCAAACAACACAGTGCACAAAAATGATAATTTGTGACTTCCCTGCCTGTGTCATAAAAGGTCATGTAGCTTCTGCCTTGCTTTCTAGAACGTGTGTTCTTGGAATCCTGAGCTGCCTTATAAGAAATCCTTCTACCCTGAGACCATCATGTCAGAAAGAGCAGAAAGGTCACATGTCAGCACTCAGGTTGACAGCCTTGGCCAGCCGAGCACAGGGTTGGAGTTATTTCAACCACCGGGGCTTAGATATGCAAGTGAAGTATTCATAGAACTCCAGGTAATTCCAGCCCCAGGCATCTAGTCCTCCCAGATGAGGTCTCAAACATTATGGGGCGCCTGGGTGGCGCAGTCGGTTAAGCGTCCGACTTCAGCCAGGTCACGATCTCGCGGTCCGTGAGTTCGAGCCCCGCGTCAGGCTCTGGGCTGATGGCTCAGAGCCTGGAGCCTGTTTCCGATTCTGTGTCTCCCTCTCTCTCTCTGCCCCTCCCCCGTTCATGCTCTGTCTCTCTCTGTCCCAAAGATAAATAAACGTTGAAAAAAAAAATTTAAAATAGTTAATGTTGGGGAACCTGGGTGGCTCAGTCAGTTAAGCAGACTCCTAGCTCAGATCATGATCTCATGGTTCATGGATTCGAGCCCCAGATCAGGCTCCTCACTGACAGTGCAGAGCCTGCCTAGGATTCTCTCTCCTTCTCTCTCCCCTGCTCTCTCTCTCCCTCTCCTTCTCTCTGTCTCTCAAAATAAATAAATAAATTTTAAAAATAAAATAAAATAGGGGTGTCTGGGTAGCTCAGTTGGTTGAGTGTCCAAATTTGGCTCAGGTCATGATCTCATGGTTTTGTGAGTTCAAGCCCCGCGTCAGGCTCTGTGCTGACAGCTCGGAGCCTGGAGCCTGCTTCTGATTCTGTCTTCCTCTCTCTCTGCCCCT